GCTATATGGCTCTGCGAACTGAAAATACAAAACTGAAACGATATATCTAAATCATATATTTTTGACAAAATTGATAATATCAATAACCGCTCAAATAATACCGCCTTTAAAAGCACTGGGAAGAGCATAGAAAAGTGAAACTCAGTTAAGATCGAGGATTTGGGGAATAATTCCAAATCTAACAAGTAAAGTCCAAATCTAACAAATTTCTGATAATTTACCTTTTTTTCTATTCTATTGAGGCTGTTTTCCACGCACGCGTTTTTCATACGCACGTACACACACGGAAGTCTAAATCATTATATATGTTACCTTTGAAAAAGTAAATAAATCGAAAAAATTAGTTTTCTCGCAATTTTGGTATATAATAAAAATGTTAAAGCATTCTTCCGTGGGTGTACCTGCGTATTAAAACACTTAAAGCCTCGTTGACAAGGTACCGGATTACTATCGGACCAGCTCGAATTTTGAAGTTAATTAATGAAAGACAGCGGTGTCCTGAATAAATATACGAAATCTATGAAATTGATAAGCATTTACTAATAATCGTTGTTTCATAACGGCAAACGAAGATGTCGTGATGAGTGGATCCGGTACCGTGTGACGCAGCTTAAGTGGAAGACAGCCTTAAGAAGCCAGGCAATAAAAAAAGAATTGGAAGCGAATCACATTTTCCCAATTGTTTCGACATTGCTGGAATTCCTGGGGGGGAATAACCCAAATTGGAAAATTCAAATATATCGGAGCCACTGTTGCAGTCTTAAAGACAACATAGGGGATGTTGAGACAACTTAGGGGATGTTAGCAAACACCGAAATAAGAAATTTCAACAACAAAGTGAAAGCAAGAAATGGTTTACAGAAATACAAATCTTTACAAAGTACAAATTTACAATATAGGCTGGCAGTAGGCTAGTATTTAAATATTAAGCAATATTCTTGTCATGTGTTCTTGTGTGGACCAGGCACGTTCGAAGTCATAAAATCCTAATTTACCACTTGATGTTAGTTTGCTTACAAATAAGCTACCTATGGTGTTAAATAAAAATCTAAGCTTGAGTATATTAAATTATGAAACCGACCATCTGTAGGGTTTCTAAATTCACAATTTCGAACGTATTAAAGATAAAAACGACGTTTGAAACACGCCTAAAGCTCGTTCCCCACTAGGCGAATTTGTTCGCGCAAACAGATAAAAAGTAGGAAGCGATCCTACTTTTTCGCAGCGAATTTTTTTGCAAGCCAATCATATCACTGGATTTCGGATATCGCTTCGCGTCGCGCGAATAAATTCGCCTAGTGCATGAAAACGGGCTTACAATATACATTGTTGTGTTGTTTCGTGACCTTCTTTTTCATGAACATCAGATATCTTGAACATATCATTATTTAAATTTCACGCACGTTTTTACAATTTTCCAGTTCCCGCTCCAGACTATAAATATCTTCCTCTCCAGCTAAAAAAATGTCCCTGTAATGTACATAGTTCTTGCACTTCCATCAGGGGTGTATATATTCAGTTCTACCCCACGTATTTCTATTCTAAGCTATTGCATGCACTCTCAAAAGAAACTCGTCGGGCAGAACTGAATATATGAATATTCAATTCCCCCCAATTATCGTTCCAGTGAATGACGCCACTGAGTTCCGTCATCCTTCTTTTTCATAAGCATCAAACTTCGTGAACAAAATACAGCTAATATAGTTACTACAATTTCTACCATTATTTTCATAACCAGCGCAATTACCATCAGCACCATCGCAGAGACCATCACCATCACCACCATCATAGATGAGAATTATCACCACCAACATGACTGTAACTACCATAATGAACATCTTAAACAACACCATCATACGACTGGCATTGGTTACAGTTATTTAGGACATGTTTGTTTTTTTCTTGTTTTCAGATGTATTCCAGATGTCATCTTTGTTTTGTTAAAGAGAAGATATTTTTCTATGTCGCGTTATAAATGCTCAAAACCTCAGTTTATATTATATCTTCAAGCAACAGCACTAAAATTTTCAACATTGATCATGTTTTGCAAACCTAAAAAGCATCTACAAAGTTTGTTTACAGTAAAATCTCAAATATTGTGAAAATTAAAAGATTTCGCGAGATACGCCGAGAAGAAAATGACACTTAATTCGAAGCTACATACTTTTGCATTCATTTCAATGATAATGGCGTTGACATTTATATTTATATAGCCGCATTATATTTTGAAGTAACTCTTATATCGCTTGGTGTTTTGCAATCACAAAATACAGTTCAAAACTTAGTTCACAACATAATCTAAAGAATAAAGATAAAATAGATTAATTTTGAGTGGTACGCCGAAAAGATTTTATATTTTGAACGCTTTCCCGCCAAAATACACGACATAATAAGAAATCTCCTCTTAATAAACTGTAACCCCAGTTAGGGAGGCAAGGGAGTGCTATCACTTGCCCAAGGTGAACTCCCAGACAAACAGAGGGAAGGAGGTGTCTTACTTCTCCATTCTAGACCAGCTCCAAGCAAAGTCTAGCCGCTGCCCGAAAACAATGTTCTTGATGATAGTTTTTCATGTTATTGTTCACTAAATCCATTATGAAATATCCTAACTGAAAAAACAAATTCCAAAACATCTGTCGCTCATAACAAAGTCCTTATCAACTAAGTCTTCTCCTCTTGGTTTTTTACTTCGTGTGAACGGGTTCACTTCAGTTATTTTTAAGAACAAAGACATTCGCATTTAATTGGTATAAACAACCTGCGGGAAAACCCAACATGTAACAAAATTTATTCCGGTTAAAAGCGGTTAATTAAAGAAAGGATTGACTGATGCACCTCGCTCAATATCGTCCCACAAAGCAACTGCCCGTTGCTTAATATCGTCCAACAAAGGATTTGGTGGAATAGACAGTCGAAGAAACACCATATCACCTTTGCAGCCAGGAAATGCCAGCACGTCCTCTTTTGGGGAAAGTTGAATTGTTTGGCTTGGCCAAAAAGTCTTCAAGTATGGTTGATAGGAAGTGTTGAGAATCGCGCCAGAGTCCATGTCATGAAATGCTATCAGGTGATCAGATAAAGTTAATACAATTCTACTCTTGTGAATACAAAATGACCTCAAATAAATAATGGGGTGGAATGCAGGAGTTATATTTTTAGAATCACCAGTGTCCAGATCAATTATCTGACTCTCATCAACTATACTGTGGTCTACGACTACTGCGATTTTGGAATCATTACTGAAAATTACGACATAAGTCAATATGTCAGCACCAGCGTCACGGTGATAAAAGACTTCATACGAAGTTGGTTTTTCGGTATTTCTTTTCCAAATATAACATTTATTGTAATTACAACCAGAGATAAAGACACCACCGGGCGAGATTTCCACTTTCATCTTAGGCTCAATTCCAGGCAAATTGATCATTACAGGACCATCAACATCTCTGACATCGAGAACTTTCACAGGTTCGTTCCTTTCGAGACCCAAGCTGAAAAAGCCTTCAGAGAAACCAATCAGCTCTGAATGACTGAAATCAGACAAGTCGTCTAGCGCCACGTCCTGACTGTGAGTAAAAAAGATCTTTAAATTGTCATCTACCGGGTATCGCGTTAATTTTGGTATCCTGTTAAATTCACTAATCACAAACAAGAAATCTTCCGACCACCAGCATAAAAATATTGACCCGCATTGACTGATTTTGAAACGTTGTTCAACTTGGCTGGTATAGACATTCCATACGTTGATATATCCATCTGAGTTGCAGGAAGCAAGTCGAGAGCCGTCAGGAGAAAACGAACTCGAATAAACTTCCGTTGGCTGTGACAAACAAGAATGCTCTTGTTTAGGAGCTAATGTCTTAAAGACAATTAGTTTTTTATCATCTGAATAGAGCCACAGATTATCTCTTAAACGTGTCATTTTGACTCGATTAAAAAAAATTTGTCGATGAGCAGCTGTAGCAAGATAGTTCCAAGCAACAATCACAGTCAAAGGAATACTTTCTGTGTCACTCGAATAACAATATTCTTCCAAAGAAAAAATACACTCCACACATTTGCAGATCCACGGCCGCGAAATCGTATTATTTTCAGTCCTTACTTCTAAAAGTTTAAAATTTGGTTGCTCAAATTCCCGCTGAAAACATCGTTCACATTTCCTTCTCTTTAACACATCTGGTTTCTCCCTTTCCACGTGAGATAATTTTCGCTTATCACTTCTTTGCAATGTGATGGCGTTCCAAACACACAACGAATAACTCGGATAAGACCGATATTCTAAATTTCCAATAATAAATAACCCTGTGACGCTAAAAGAACACCAACGAAGACAATACCAAGCACAAAGCGACGACACCAATTTTTGTTTAGCAACGTCCCATAGTTTAATGGTGTTTGAACCGTCGCAAGTTACCAGTCTTTTGCCGTTAGGGGAAAATGCACAGGACAGGAACGTCTCTTCATTTCCAGGGAAAAATGGAACTTCCTTTCTTCCAGCAATGTTAAACGCCGTTTCCAGTTTGCCAAATAATATGACCGAATCGTCTGGAGAAAATGTACAGCATGAAATTGTTTTCAATTTTGTCGAATAACTCATAATTTCAACTAAATTTGGAAGAGACATCACATGTATAAAATTCTTTATTCCAACTGCTACACTTTTCTCATCGTTAGATAAAGCAACAGCTGTAATATAATAAAATTGATTCTGTTCGTAACTGTGTTTCCAGACTGCTCGCGGCAAAACCGAAACTTCGTAAGAATTCCACTCGACAAAAGGTGAAAGGTTTGAATATAGCGTCTCCGCGATTTTCTTCTCATCATCGCTGAAATAACCTTCTGGAGAACGGGTAAGAACTGCTTGTAAATAACATTGTGAATATACTGTCGGAAAAACTTGTTTTGAATGTTTGTGATACAGCCCCGTGGGATTCAGGGCACGATCAAAAGAACCAAATTCCATGACATGGTACGAGATACGGGCACGTAAATCTTCGTTTTTAATCGAAGAACTTTCGAGCAATTTGAGCCAGAAACGCTGCAATACCTTTGAATAGACTACAGATAACATATAACATACGATAATAACATCAACTGACCAAAACACACCTTCCTCCATTTCACACTTTTCTAGATGTTTTAAACCATGTTTCAGAGCGTATTCCACGTCATTAGTAAACTTCACCTCAACTCCTGAGAGTATAGCTTTATCTTTAATTTCTTTAAAAACCTTTTCGCATAAAAGCCAAAGCAATCTATGTCCATCATCGACCTTGACAGTATACTGGTGATCTTTGTAGCCCTTTGCTTGAAGCCAATCAATGACGGACTTGTGAAAAACGGTTAACATGTCATCTGAAACGTACAACAAGCACGATATGGTTTCATTAATTTTGTTGATGATGTCTTTCGTTTCGCGACAATCTGGAGCTAAACCAAATGCCTGAGCGATGAAAGTGAGGGGAAGAGGTCCTTCGGAAGCTGCCAGCATTTCCAAAATTTTCAACACATCAAACTTTTCATGTTTTAAGTCGTTAAGCTCGTCTTCAAGGCGTTTAAAATATCGTTCGTAAACAGAATTGAGTCCTTCTGGGAGAAACGCCATGACGTCATTATTTGTTATCTTCTCAAGATCATAGCGAGCCCTTAGCCCAGATTGAAAGTGATATGCATAGAGAAATGAGCCTTGGGATTTGGCAACAAAAATGGAAAGTAAACTAATAAATTTATTTGGCAAAAAACATTGAAGATATGGATTCTCATACAAATCACGGCTCACTTCACTTTGATTAACTTCGCTGCCAACTAAACTTGGAAGACGTTCTTTAAAATAAAGTTCAAGATCTGAGTTATTGTTGGCGTTAACATTCGCAATGCTCGTCTTTTGATCGTCTCTTACTCTTAGATCAGCAACGGAAATCTCTGGCCTGCTCGTCACCAAGATTTTGATGTACTCGGGAAGATCAGGAAAATATTCAGCGATCAAATGCGTAATTTCATTCTTATTATCAGCAGCACTTTCATCCAAGCCATCGATCACGACTAAACGTGGCTTTTTCATTTCCAATTCAGCTAAGGGATTTTGTAAATATATTTGGAAGGCATCTTTGAGGTTTTTGATTTGATGACGTCGTCCCAACTGATCAAGGAGCTCCTCTTTAAAACCAGGGACGCTTTTGCACATCTGACTTGCGAGAGACTCCAACATCATCATAGGATCTCTTAGGTTTGAATCACTGAAATCACAAAAGTGACAAGCAGCCAGCTTTCCATTCTTCCCAAAATCTTCACAGATTTTAGCGGCAAACACGCTTTTACCAAATCCTGGTCCAGCTGTTATTAACTTTATACGTGAATCAGTATCACTGCTACAAAACCATTCGTCAACTTCCCTTAACAACCACTCTCTTGTTCCTGGTAGGAAAAGTTTCACTTTTCTTTGAATTTTATTCTTGAAATTATGTTTGGCAAGTTTTCGTAATACATCTTCACCACTCTCCTTGCAGAATTTTTTTTCAGGATTGGCATCCTCGGGTATTGATTGCGGGGTTTCAGTGTCACTTTTCTTCAACAAAGACTGGCATAGTAGATTTACTCCATCGCGGGTTTCTTCAACGATTTGTGTCATTGTTGCAAGCATTTTGATACACTCATCTTCGTGCAGTTTCCAATCTTTAAGCTTTTGCACATACACTTCTTCTTCAGGCCCAAGAGGACATTTTTCTAAATCGTCGACATCACTCTGTGAAACGCCCAATTCTACTAACGCCTGGGAGATTTTCTTCCATAAAGACTCAAATCTTGAATGCTCAAATCGAGTAGATTTTACATGTGCGACTTCATTTCTGTAAAATTTGATTCTTGTGATATTCGCCTGCGTTGACCTATCAGTATCCGGAGGCATTACACTCCATCCTGTTAATGGAAAACCACAAATGTTCCGGAATAGAACTGTAAGTAATGTGATATTAAAGCTTTTGGAATCTGGTGGGTTGCCAGACAGAGGAAACAGTAAATCCCACTGGGAATTATTAATAACTCGAGGTTTTAACCTTTGAAGAGATGTTTTGTTTGCAGCCAGTACTCCGGGTAGACTAACAGGTGGATGGATGGTATCAAATGTATTTCTCAAAGCCTCAGTTCCTTTGTCAACCAAAAGTCTACTGAGTCTTGTAAAATTTGCCTTTTCTTGCAGATCAACAGAAGCCATGGCAATTGGCAGGGTTAATTACTGTAACAAAATTTCACAATAGTTTTTTTAATCATATGGGGCACACCCAGAAAGTGAATGGTGTTAAATAGAGATATATATTGTTAATTTCAATTTTAATATATATTGTTAATTTTTTACTTTTAGGCTATATATTTTAGACTATCAAATACAAATTCATATTACTGAATTGATCATGATTTTTCTCATCTTTAATTAACTTGATAATATTCTTCATATATACAACCACATTATCTGATCATCGTGCATGGATAATCGGATGGAACTTAAACTAAATTAGACGAAAGGATTCCTTTTGTGGAAATGATTTCGTAAAAAAACACGTAGTCGTGGGTGAAAAAACTTTTAGTCAAACTTGCTTTCAATCTAGTTTGACCGGACTAGGGGGCTGTTTATACCCGGCCAGTCTGGTAAGCGGGATCTCACTACATTGTAGATTTTATAGAAAAAATGTGTTGGCCCGCTTGCCGAGATATTGCTTTGAACAAGCGAGGTCTCGCTCTCGCTTACTGAGATGAAGATTTCTCTATGTCAACACACGCAAGCGGGCTGGTCCGGTTGCCAGGATGAAAATACGTAATGTACACATGCGCATCATGTACGTTTTCATGTGGTTTTTCAAAATGGCCGAAACCTGTGAAGCTTCTGTGTCTTCAGTAGTCGCCGAAAAAGTGAATACAGTCCAAAAACCCAAACGAAAGAACTTTAAATGGCAGCCGGATATGGTAGAGCATCTATTTTAGTAATTGATTACTTGCTCGAATACAAAACCTAAAACGTAACCTGGCCAAAAAAATGCATCTCACTTACGGGGCTGGCCCTTAAATGTGGTAATTATTATGCTGTCTATGCATCCGTCCGGATATGGTAAAAAATATACCAGATCTGGTGACACTGACCCAACTCAGAAATCAACACATTAATCTCAATGAATTGATTGTTCACTATATGTGCTGGCTTTGTGATTGCTAGAAACACGTGAAACATCATCTGTCATAGGCAGGTGGGGAAATAAAAGAAACGCAATTTTGGGACATTATTTTGTAATGTCTTAACAGAATGATACAACACTGTGTCGGTTTAGGGTAAAACGCGGATACGGACGGATAGCGACGGATGGACGGGCTGACGGACAGACGGACGGACGGACGGACGGACGGACGGACGGACGGACGGACGGACGGACGGACGGACGGACGGACGGACGGACGGACGGACGGACGGACGGACGGACGGACGGACGGACGGACGGACGGACGGACGGACGGACGGACGGACGGACGGACGGACGGACGGACGGACGGACGGACGGACGGACGGACGGACGGACGGACGGACGGACGGACGGACGGACGGACGGACGGACGGACGGACGGACGGACGGACGGACGGACGGACGGACGGACGGACGGACGGACGGACGGACGGACGGACGGACGGACGGACGGACGGACGGACGGACGGACGGACGGACGGACGGACGGACGGATAACTTACTTTTTAATAAACAAATTTTAAACGTCATATCCGCGTTTTGCCTAATCGGGTAAAACGCGGATATGGTATAAAATATGCGTTATTTATAAATATGAGTTATTTATAAATATAAGTTTTTTATATAAAAAGAGTAATGCATTCTTAAGGTAATTTATGCGCCACAGCCACACTGTCAATGACAAGACAGGTCGTTTCGGATTTCAACATGCTTTCAAAGCTATTCAAGTGTGCTTGATACTTTTCTTGTTGGATTTTTTTACGGCAAATTGCACAAGGTCAAGTATAGTTGTTTCAGTTTTTCAGAGCGTGCCCTCTCAGTGCGCCGGTTTTTGGTCATCTATTCTTTAACTTATGCGGTAAAAACTATATTCACAGATATACATACTAACGTAGAATACGCTGCGCGTGAGATGGCACGTTTTTGTAAAACATGTTTAAACATTTGCGATGGACAACATGTCATTTTTTGGTAATTTGGGAAATTGTGGTCCATCAAAAAGTATCGAAGAAGATGTTGCTGTCTCGGGTCTTCCACAGTATTCCTACAAATCACTGCTGGATAAAAATGAAATTGGCGACGGCAGATTTTCTGTTGTATTTACAGCGATGCTGCCGGGTGACTACAAGGAAAAGATTGTCGTGAAAAAACTACTAGACTCGAGTGACGAGGCTAGAAAATCACTTCTCAAAGAAGCGCGCATTGTTAATTGATTGAATCATGCCAACATCGTGCAATTTAAAGGAATTTGCCTTGATCGATATGCAGTACCTAGGGGGATGTGTACTTTCATATGAAATTAGATTGTGTTCGCGCCAAACAACCTGTTTAGAAGTAGCAAGCTGGTTAGCACCACAACTCACCATGCAACATATTCTACTGCTCCGACAGTTTGGAATGCAAATCTAATACACCATTATACAAATATGTATTCATCTTTTACATTCATATTTTATATATTCATATTTTATATTCATATTTTATATTCATGAGCGGAACAGTTTGAAACGAACTTTTCGAAACGAACTTTTTGGGTGATCTGTGTCATTCCGGTCCGTGCGCGGGTCTAAAAAAGGGCACGAGAATGCATGTAACGTAACACGAACGCTGTGACTTAGAGAGAGAGCGAGATTATGTGGTATTTGTTTGATTAAATTTTATTTAAAACAGTATTACGAGTGAATATTAGTGTAGCGGCACAATTTCGGTACATTCATATTTCATATTCATATTTATGTTGTCATATTTTATACCGCATATAACCCGATTGGGTAAAACGCGGATATGACTTTTGAATACCCGAAAAGTATATTCTATACCATATCCGCGTTTTACCCGATTAGGTAAAACGCGAATATGACGTTTAAAATTTGTTTTATCCCGGGCCGGTGCGGAGCACCGTGCGAGGGTACTAATTCCGCTCGGATATTTACACCCACGATGTGCAAATGCGAAATCAAAGTCGTCCGCCATTATGCAATGGACCTCACGCTATGGACGGTCTTCCACGTTATGCGCATGCGCCAGTGTGAACTACTAAGCTCTTGATAGTTCCTGTAAAACTTTAATGTAATTTATGATAAAATTAACTATATACATATTTAAAAGAATTCTAAATAAAACTAGATCAAAATTAACTATTCTAATCACCATGCATTTTCCAATGGGCCGTTTAAACTCTTCGAAAGTCATAATGATTGTTGTTCTTCCTAATTTTTATAGAAAAGGAGTACTTCGCACGTAAAGTTAAAATCGAAAAAACTTTAAAAAACCTCTGCAATCTTAACATTTAGTCCAAAATTGTCTACCACTTCAAGTTCTTTTTAATCTTAGAATTTCGAAAGAGATTCTGGTTCTCAACCAAGTTATGACAACTGCGTAACGTTCATGGTCTCTTTCTGCTAATTTCTGCACCAGCTGAGTAAGAAACTTGTGGCATTCAGACCCCATTTCGCCATTGGTTCCGAAAACAAGTGGGGTAAAGGAGCCCATTTCAACATCTAAAACTCTCTGTCGGTATTTTCTCTTCTTTTCGTTCTCGTGTTCCTTAAAAATGTTATGGGTTAGCCGGCCTTGGTTACATCGGGAGTTTACATGCGTTACTCTTACGTCAAAAAATGCAGTAACTCCACGTAGCCAGAAACCGTCCGCCTTCATGTCCAATCTCGCTTCGGGACTTATATTGGCCGATCTCAGGTCAAGTCTCTCATTGTCAAGGGGTTGAAGATGAGGCTCAATTTCCACATTCTTACACACTTTATCCAGTTGCGCTGTTAGCAAATTACGGATTCCATCGTGCCTTGGTGCCACGAACCCACCTTTTTTACAAGAGAGGGCATGATTGATGTTATAGCGATCTCCACACGCGCAATGACTTGGTAAATCGTTAATGTTATCCATTCTTGACTTAACAATTTCCGCTTTGTTTGCTTGCTGCATTCGCTTCAGATCATCTATAGACTGCTCTATCGGTTCCAGAGCCTCACTCTGCCGTTTAATTGAATTTACATGTTGATTAGTAAATAATTTTGAGGCTGCATATTGCAAAGGAGCTTCTATTCTCAAATTCGGTACGCCTAATCCCCCTTGAGCTGGCGTTAAGGTCACAAGTTCCCGAAGTTCACTCGCAAGGGGTTCTTCTTGACCAAAAAATTGTGGTAAGAGAATGTCATTCAATGTTTCATGTATCGGTTCTACGTACTCTTCGAAGGCCTCAATTGTTCGCATGAAATAGGTAAATTTTGATTTGTATGCTTTCGTAAGGGCAATGTAGGCTGCATGAGGTTGGCTTTTCGCGATTTCCGTGAGTGATGAGATATCTTGTACCCGTCCTTGAATTTTTTCTTTACAATACTCATCTTTATATTCTTTTGATCCTATAACAGCACCCAAATGGCGTTTTCCTTCTGTTGTAATTTTAACTTCTTCTCCAAAGATCTGCTCTGCTTCTTTGGCCAGTTCTTGCGTCTTCACTATCAGCCAACACTTTGGACCATTTACTAGATAGCCGTATTTCTTTCCTTCCTCTTCCAAATGCTTATACCAATTATATAAATGTGTCAATCTTCCTCCTCCCGCTGAGTCATCGGCCAGCCATACTTGTTTGATTTCTGGTATGTTCAATCTCAAACTTTGAATCATTATAGCTGTGTTAATTGAGTACCAGGACATAGCTAGGGGATCCCCATTGGGTGGTACCTTCTTGCGACAAAATCTCACCTCCCCCACATATGAATAGCCTGGAGGGGCATCTGTAGGTGTTAGCTCTTGATTGGTCGAGACAAAAATTTGTATTTTCAAACGTCAGTGAATAACTGTCATTTCGCAAAATTTTGATGAAATTTTTAAATTTATGTTTTCATATATATGGAATATATGTATTTTTAATTAAATTAGGGGAAAACTCGAATGTGGTCAGGACTTTTTACGTTTTAACAAATAACAAGACCAAATGTTCGAGTTTCGACCGAATTCACCGTGTATAATGAAGTCGGAAGATTTTACACTTGATAAAATTTCATCCGGCACAGCTTTAAAAAGTAATTCTCTTGGGGTAAACACAACTTTAATATTCTCAAATTTACTTTAAATCTGAATGTGTTATGTGATAAACGACATTATAATTTCATTTATAAATTCCGTTTTCATAATGACAAAAAGAAAAGAAAATCAAAACATTCCCGTGAAAAAACCAATCGAGGTGTAACATAAAACTTCGGAAGTTGTATGAGACGTCTGATGTTATATTTCATGGTAATTAATAATTAAAACAATTTACCATGACACTGACTATAAATGAGTGACTTAACTTCCAGAAAAAGGTAGGAATCTTGTCGTATTTTTGCCATTTTTTCACAAAAATATGAGGGTAAACTTGGATTCTTTAAAAATATACGGCCGTCGCGAGTTGGTATGACTACAGTGTTTCCACGTACAGAAAAATATTTCCATACTTTTCTCAATTTCTTTTTCCCTCCAAAACTCCCAACCCACATAAATTTTCTAACAATCATGTTACCATCCCTATGCTTAACTGATTTCGTTCAACCGAGGCGAGGGGTTGCTGCATGCATGTATTTCTAGTTGAAAAGTAAGTTATCCGTCCGTCCGTCCGTCCGTATCTGCGTTTTACCCTAACCCACACTGTGTCGGGCAACAATTTATATTATTATATACCACTTGTCAAAGTTTTGTTTTCGTAGCGTTTCATTGGTCGAGAGCGAATCACGCGGGAGTGACGAAATTTTGATGTCGCCAGCGCGACCCCCTGCAGAGTGAGATAACGTGTTATCTCATGGGAAATAACAACTTTTATCCATTTGAAATTATGTCTTTTATGAATAGATATTTCATTGTTTACCTTGTAGTTTGGTTTTTCTTTGACAAGTGGTATATAATAAAAAACTTATTTACTGAGAACTCAGAAAACATTATGTTTTGTGGACCCTCGACCATCGATATTTCACTCGGCTTCGCCTCGTGAAATATCGACAGGTCTCGGGTGCACAAAACATAACGTTTCCTTCGTTCGCAGTAAATAAGTGTTAAATGACTAAACTGACTGAGATGTACACAAACCTTGCGGATAAAAAACACAAAGCACTTTATTCTATCCTGCTGGTTATTTCTTGAGCTTGGGTATATGTTTATAGCTTTATAATTTCAGCCAGGGAATTAAGAGGGATGCGAAGTTGCGTTGTCTAATGCTTTTTGTAAGTATTTCATTTTACTGATTTCATCTCGTATTGGACTATAGCAACATGAAGTATTGCATAGATTCTTTCATCTCACATATTACATCATCTCTTTAAATACCAACAGTCTTTAATATTTCCTACCTTCGACTTCGTTAAACGAACCACCATAAACGATCATTAAAGATGACAACGTATAAATAAGATATTTTTCGTCATATGATAAAAGTCCTTATTTTTAAAAGAAAGCACATCATGATGTAATTTTAAGATAAAATTACTCCAAAGGCTATTTGTCGAACACGATAGCTTATACGTGGCTTTAGAGACCAACAATTCATGAGATGAGGAAAATTATAGTATCCTTTATGTCTTTATCTTTAATCAATAATATCTTTAATCTCTTTAAATATCAACAGTCTTTAATATTTCGTACCTTCGACTTGGTTAAACGAACCACCATAAACGATCATCAAAGATGACAACTTGAATAATATACTTTTCTTCACATGATAAAATTTCTTATTTCTAAAAGAAACCACATCATGATGTAATTCCATACAACTTAAGATAAAGTTACTTCACAGTTTTTTTGTTAAACACGATGGCCTGGTTAGTAATTGTCCAGCAAGTTAATACGTGGCTTTAGAAACCAACAATGCGTGAGATGAGAAAACTTAAGATATCAAACAAAGCCAGTTTGAAGCTTTTAATACGACGCCAGAGCGCTGTGCGGTGGTTATTTAATTTGTCGATCTAAAGCTTACTCCGTGTAATAGTTGTCAATCGAGTGGTTTTTTTTATTCCAATTTGCAGGATTTCTTTGCAAAACCTAATCATTTCAAAGCAGATATATACCGTTAGCTTTTTTAGGCTTTTCAAAGGCTTGTGTTATTGTGATATAAACAGACTATAATTTCTTGGTTGAACGCCTCTGCAGAAGGAAAGGAACAATTTGATAGTTGGTTAAACTGAGACTTGTATAGGTAACTGGTTGGTCAATATGAAAATACAGGATAATGGGTAGCACATGAAGTTCCAATCAAAGAAAGCGCCAGTTTTTGTCAGATGAAACAAAATAAACAAAACCGGAAAGATAAATGTGTCTTATCACATGGAAAAGTCGCCCCATGACGTAATTCCACCGCCATCATACGTCAATATTATTAATTTATTACAATTATTGTTATATTATTGTCAGTATTAAGACGAGTAAAGGATAATTATTAGGAACCAAATTTACGATTTTATTGAAGGTTTCGCTAAACGTTTTAACATGACGTCAAAGCGCTGTGCCTTGCCTGGAATACTTCGCTCTTGATGAAGTGAAATGATTTACAATTTTCAAGAGACAAAAACGTAGCTATGAAATTCACGACGCTGACAAAATTCCACAGATTTAGGCCACAAATAAAATAATAAACGCTGAGAAATGTTCAAAAATCCAGCAGACAAGAATAAAGCAAACACTCTGATGGCATCCTGCTGCTTCTTTGTTCAAGTCAATGTTGTAAAATATCCGCGTTGCATTAAATGCATTTTTTTCGGTCTAATGCGCCTAATTACTTCGTATTACTCATTTCATCTTGTGTCGAGAACTTTGAGATATATATTGAGAGCTGGAAAAACTAAACTAACCCTTAGGTTAAACATTAATGCCACGTCAAAGCACTTTAACATTTTCAGTCATTTTTTAACCGTTCGCTAGCGAAGTATTTACATATTTTCTTTTTAATTTCAAAACAATAAATAAATTAGTTCAACTTGAATGTTCTTATTTCAAAACAAAATATGCAAATATTTCGCTAGCGTAAGCAACCACCTTTCTGCATGTGGAAATCAAGCCTTATTAACGCCGTGAAGTTACCTTACGCTTTTATAAAACTTAAACTAATTTAAACTTAAACTAATTTTTATGTGATCTCTATTAATGGTTAGTAGCTGACTAACAATTTATGATATTGTTTTGAAGACCAACAATGCATAAGATGAGATGAATGCTAATTTCAATAGGGATTGCTTTGTTCTTGTGATATAAACAGAGTATAAATTCTTGGTTGAAAGCTTCTGAGGAAGGAAAGGAGTCAATTCGACAGTGGAATAAACAGATTTGAAAGTAGTGGTTTATAAACAGGACTTTGGTGGAGACATGAAATTCGATTTCATATGCCAGTTTTCGTCAGATAAAACAAATATAAATGTGTCAATTTCTACCATAAAATTAAGTCAGGCTATGACCTAATCTCACAGCCTTAACAACAATTCACTTTTACTACAGTTATAAAAGACAAATTTGCTGAAGCCAATCGGTTAATTATTGTAAGTATATAGTAAGAAGAATAAAGTATATTTGGAGCAAGATTTGGATTTTCAATATCCGTGCGACTAATCCCCGAGCGGGCGCCGAGCGCCTGCGAGGGTACTAATTCCGCTCGGAGATTAGGAATTACACCCGGAACCGGGTAGAACATAGGCGAATCCAAAGTTGTCCAAATTCTTAGTGGTTTTGTAAGTTATGCGCATGCGCGAGAAACGTCTGGTAATCAACGAACGTTCTGATTGGCTAAGACAGAAAGTTTGTATTTCAATGAGAACGTCAGCAATTTAACTGTCATTTCGTAAACATTTTTGTAAAAGCGTTTCATGAACTTTGTGCAAAGAAAGTAAAACGAGAAGAAAGCAGATATATGAAGCATGACAGATAGCAAAGATGAACGTGGATACAGTCAAGACAAAGCTGTGTAAGAGGAATAATTCATAATCTGCAAGCTTATAAATGTTAGCTTATAAATGTTTTCAAAGACAAAGGGTACGTGTTTACTTTGTTTATTTCGTATATGTTTCGCGGTAAGAATGAGCCGTATTTGTATACTTTTCAGCTTTGCCTTTGTATGCCATTTATTTGTTAAATTTTCAGTTTTTTATGCAAATGCATAAACCTGGGAAAGGCTATTACACCTTTGCTTTAACTTCAAAAAGTGTTTTTGAAAGTGTAATTTGAATTTTCGTATAAAAAATACACACTATATTTATATAATATGATATATAAAAAACTTTTAGCCGCCGGCGTCGACTGCAATTACAGAATAAAATAACATTTGAAGTTTTTTTCTTTGTCTGTGAAGATTTTCTACTGTTTTAATCGTTTGAAACTTCGATTTTGAACCGTTACTTAATTGCCGCCATAGTATAACGCAGCAAAATTGAACGGGCAATGTTTACACTAGCTTTATAATTTTTTTTGTATTGAATGATGGAAACATTATAGCTATAATCATAGGCAGCCCAGAAATCTGTTTATACTCAGTCTTCGACTGCATTGTTTACGCGCGCGGTCAGCTTCTCCTGCCTGTACTGTGTTAATTACTGTATTATATATTAATACAGTAATTAGTAACACAACGTATTTTAAAAAGTATAGAAGTAATGAATGTAAATAAACCGCATGATATATTCGCTTTGTCTTACACTTTGCCTTTGGAATTCGCGCTTATATAGTTATATTAAATCTTCAATCCTGTGCAAACTACGACGTGTCAACGCGCACATACACGACCACATCATCTTGTTAAACGGCGAAATAGCAGCGATAATCAATCGAGCAGCATGAAAAGAACTGTTTATTTGTTCCTCTTGGAGGAATTGCCGTATCATGCGAGCGAAATCGAATCGCGCACGGGACGTAAATGAATACGGTTCCATACACATTACACACTTGCGACGATAAAAAAAACCCGAGGCGAATTTTCAACTCCGTCGCTGGCGCCGGAGTAAAAATAAAAAATTGGGAAAAGGCAGTTTTATGGACGCTTCTTTGGCAAACGTGAAAGATAAGCTAGTCGTGGTAAAGAAGCTTAGACGGCAGAAACACAAGAAGGAAAGACATATATATTTATATAAGGAAATTACATATAAAAATCGTTTTCCTTTTTTCGCATTTTATCCCCTCATCCGAATTTTATCCCCTCATCCGCATTTTTCCATCCGCATTTTATCCCCTTATCCGCATTTTTCCATCTGCATTTTATCCCGTCATCCGTATTTTCCCATCCGCATTTTATCCCCTCATCCGTATTTTCCCATCCACGTTTTATCCCCTCATCCGTATTTTCCCATCCGCGTTTTATCCCCTCATCCGTATTTTCCCATCCGCGTTATATCCCCTCATCCGCATTTTCCCATCCGCGTTTTATCCCCTCATCCGTATTTTCCCATCCGCATTTTATCCCTACCCGTCTATACTCTACATAATTTAGTCAGAAATAGCGCACAAACCATGCGGTTAACAAACACCAATCACTTTATTATATTGAGCTTGCATGGATGTGTGTTTATATAGCTTTAATTTGAGCCAGGGAAGAGGGATGCGAGTTGCGATGACAGTGTTCTTTGTAAATACTTCATTTTACTGATTTCATCTCGTGTTGGACTAGTGATATATGAAATATTGCATATTCTTTAATCTTGCATATTACATCATCTCTTTAAATATCAACAGTGTTTAATGTTTCCTACCTTCGACTTCGTTAAACGAACCACAATAAACGATCCTTAAATATGGCAACTTGAATTAATAAGATCTTTTTCTTGACAAGATAAAAGTTTTTATTTCTAAAAGAAACCACATCATGTAACTCCACACAACTTAAGATAAAGTTACTCCACAGCTTATTTGTTGAACACGACGTCTGGTTAGTAATTGTCCAGCAAGTTAATACGTGGCTTTAGAAACCAACAATGCGTGAGATGAGAAAACTTATGATATCAAACAAAGCCAGTTTGAAGCTTTTAATACGATGCCAGAGCTCTGTGCCGTGGTTATTTAATTTGTCGACCTAAAGCTTACTTCGTGTGATAGTTGTCAATCGAGTCGTTTTATTGCTTCAAATTTGCAGCATTTCTTTGCAAAACCTATTCATTTCAAAGCAGATATATACTTTTAGCTTTTTTAGGCTTTTCAAAGAGTTGTGTTATTGTGATATAAACAGACTATAATTTCTTGGTTGAACGCCTCTGCAGAAGGAAAGGAACAATTTGATAGTTGGTTAAACTGAGACTTGTATAGGTAACTAGTTGGTCAGTATGAAAATAAAGGATAATGGGTAACACATGAAGTTCCAATCAAAGAAAGCGCCAGTTGGTCGACAGGTGAAACAAAATAAACAAAAGAAAGATAAATGTGTCTTATCAAATGGAAAAGTTGCCCCATGATGTAATTACACCCCCTCATATGTCAATATTATTAATTTATTACAATTGTCAGCATAATATTGTCAGTATTAAGACGAGTAAAGGATATTAGGAACGAAATTTACGATTTTATTGAAGGTTTCGCTAAACGTTTTAACATGACGTCACAGCGCTGTGCCTCGCCTGGAATACTTCGCCGTTGACAAAGTGAAATGATTTATAATCTTCAAGAGACAAAAACGTACCTATGCAATTCACGACGTAGACATAATTCCACAGATTTAGGCCACAAATAAAACAATAAACGCTAAGAAATGTTCAGAAATCCAGCACACAAGAATAAAACAAACACTCTGATGGCATCCTGCTGGTTCTTTGTTCAACTCAATGTTGTAAAATATCCGCGTTGCGTTAAATGCATTTTTGTCGGTCTAATGCGCCTAATTACTTCGTATTACTTATTTCATCTTGTGTCGAGAACTTTGAGATATATATTGAGAGCTGGAAAAACTAAACTAACGCTTAGGTTAAAGATTAATGCCACGTGAAAGCACTTTAACATTTTCAGTCATTTTTTAAACGTTCGCTAGCGAAGTATTTACATATTTTCTTTTCAATTTTAACACAACACAATAAATAAATTAGTTTAGCTTGACTGTTCTTATTTCAAAACAAAATATGCAAATATTTCGCTAGCGTAAGCAACCACCTTTCTGCATGTGGAAATCAAACCTTATTAACGCCGTGAAGTTACCTTACGCTTTTATAAAACTTAAACGAATTTAAACTTAAACTACTTTTCATGTGATCTCGATTTAATGGTTAGTAACTGACCAACAATTTATGACATTGTTTTGAAGACCAACAATGCATAAGATGAGATGAATGGTAATTTGAATAGAGATTGCTTTGTTCTTGTGATATAAACAGACTATAAATTCTTAGTTGAAAGCCTCTGAGGAAGGAAAGGAGTCAATTTGACGGTGGAATAAACAGATTTGAAACTAGTGGCTTATAAAACAGGACAATGGTTGAGAAATGAATTCGACTTCATATGCCAGTTTTCGTTAGATAAAACAAATATAATTGTGTCAATTTCTACTATAAAAGTCACACTATGACCTAATCTCACAGCCTTTTTCTCACTTTTACTACAGTTATAAAAGACAAATTTGCTGAAGCCAATCGGTTAATTATTGACAACCAACATGATATGCAATAGTAAGACGAATAAAGTATATTTGGGGCAAGATTTTGGATTTTATTCAAGGTTTTGCTAAACGTTTTAACATGACACCACAGCGGTGTGTCGTGTCTAGCATACTTCGCTGTTGACGAAGTAAAATGATTTATAATCTTCAAGAAAGAGACAAGAACGTACCTTTATCAATTCTTGAAACCCATAATCCAACTACGTCGCCATAATTCAGCGAGATTTAATTCAGAAATAAACCAAAAAGACGCTAAGAAATGTACACAAACCTAGCGAACAAGAATACACCAAACACTCTGATGGTATCCTGCTGGTTATTTAATGAACTCAAGTCATGCATTCGAAATTGTCGTTGTGTGGGTGTCATACAGGGAGTGTCAAAAACAATATAATTTGAATAAGTTGATATCGCAGAAAACATTTCAATATCCCTGCGACTAATTTTGCTTCAAATATTTGACGTATTTGACATTAGAATAACCACACAAAGCTCAATTACAGAATATCCAAGCATGGATTGTGTTCACGCACCCTTTGGATCAATTAGTTATAAATTACGCCAGTTGCAGTTTTCTAAAACACTCTGCAGAAGCAATCTAATTGTGTTATAGTCTAATTTTCTTTGTTAATATTCCTTATCACTGATTTTGTCTTGTGTCGGCGAGATCTTCCTCATTGAAAGCTAGGATCCTCCTCGTATGGAAGTGACCAAAGATTTTCTACCGTGCAGATTTACACAAAATGTGCTGTTCCAAAGCTATTTGTGTAGCCCCAGAAACATAAATGTGCAGTTATCAATTAAAAACAGGATTAATCAAAAAGCCTTTATGTAAATTTTAATCAATATCAGAATATCAGTAGCGGACCAAGGCAAGAACCCAAGCAGAGAAACTCCATTTACTTAGCCCCGTTTATAGAACAAACATTTTTGGTACGGCACGCTTAATTTTTTCAAGGCAGGCCAAAAGAAATTGGCACCGTAACTAAGCCTGTTTACGCGTTATTTTTCTTTTTAGGTCTGAATACCACAAAATTTTAGAAAGCACCCAATAGAATATTTTTGATGCCCATAACCACACCGCAGTTGCTATATAAGTCAGCAGATTAACAAAGCACAGATGCATCAATTGAAGCAAATGAACGAATCTTTTTATTCGTGTTATAGTGTCGGTATTTTCGCATTTTATAACTTGTTGAATGACTTCAGCATCCTAGGTTTCTATTAAAACATTTGTTTTCGTATCCGACCAGAGCTTTTTCTGCTGTTCTTTCCCGCCATTTTGCAGTAATTATTTATTCTGCGCATGATCAACAATAAAAAATTGCTAATGAAATCAAAGAACATTCGAGGCCGACCCTCGCTCAAATCCGATTCAAAATTGCTGATGCAACTATATTTTCGGCACGATGTCCATGATTTGACAGGTCGAGAACATCTTTTAAAGCGGTCTCGGCACGGATAAAATTACTAGTTTGTGGACTTATATTACGTCTGTTTAAAGGAAAAAATTTAAGTGCCGTGCCATTTTCTGCCAGCGTGGAAAAAATTAAGCGTGCCTTGCCAAAAATGGTTGTCGTGTAAACGAGGCTTTAGTCACTGCATGGTCATGGTCACCAATAATATATGGCGGACTATCGCTGACATACGAGAACCAGTGAACTAGGCTTGAAGCCTGGTTTTCATATTGTCAGAGATCATTGGAGAATAAAGTTCTGTGTTATTTTCCAAAAATTTTCTTGGTGAATGGTTATCAACAATACATCACCGACTGTCGGTGGTTAATAAGAACGCCAGGGTTATGAGCCAGGTCGATGGTTATTGTTGGTGAATGCAGGAGAATAGAGAGCTTTGTTATTTTACACAAATTTCGTCAGCGGCCAGGGGAAGGTTCTCCAAACCCCCCACAACTCCCGCATCTATAAATTATCAATTTTATATTTCGAACTATTTTGTTCCGCTCCCACCCAAAACCTCACCTAACAATTTCCTAGAAAGACCTCGCGGTCATTAATATCCCTTCATTGGTTTCTGTTGTTTCCTCTGTTTTCTTGAGGGTAATAATGATTCAGGTAATTTTTTCAGTCAATCTGGCAACCCTGATTCTTGGTGTAATTACCTCCAAGGTGATATTTAGCCAAGGTCCCAGACAACTTTTACACTCATTGACTGCGCGTTATAGAAGAACGTTAACAACCACAGATATAGAGAGTTAGAAAATTCAAAAACTTAGTGAAATATGTAATGGTTTACAAATGATTGCAAATCTATAGAAATTACAATAAATGCTGGCAATAGCCTATGATTAAATATCAAGCAGATATGCACTTGTGTGTACCAGACACTTGCTAAGTCATAATATCCTATTTTAATATTGGATATTAGTTTGCTTACAGATCAAGATAGCTGTGTGTTCGTTTATTACTTAACAAAACAAAGCTCTCCCATTTGTATGCCTTATACAAATATTTCATTCTCATAGAAAATATTCACATCAGCTCGGTCTTCACTCGGGAAATTTATTCCCGCTTCAGGCTACAAATATCTTCCTTCCCAACTAAAAAACGAACATTCCCTGTAATGTACATAGTTCTTGTAGTTCCATTAGGGGCGAAACTAGAACGATAATTGTGTGGTGTTTCTGCCCAGTGAACTCTATACAACTGGAACGATAACTACTGACAAACATGCATGCGTATTCACCTTGAAGCCAAAATCGTTTTTCTGAGTTTTGAGACGAAATACTTGATGCCAGACGTTGGGCTGTGTGTCAAATTAAAGCTATTGAAAAGTTATATTTGGTGTAGAATTTTCAAGACTACAACTACAAAGGAAATATTAAAAAATTAGATATTTGCTTTAAGCTAAAGTTTCGAAATTTCTACGCGAAATATAACTTTTTAATAGCTTTAATTTCATACACGGCTCAACATTTGGCGTCAAGTATTTCAGCTCAAAACTAAAAAAAAAAGTAACTATTTTAAGCCATTGCACCTAAAAAGGAAATCCGTCGGGCAAAACTGGATATATGAATATTCACTCCCCCCTAATTATCGTTCTGGTGCATGACGCCACTGAGTTATATATGTTATCTTTCTTTTTCATCAAACTTCAGGAATAAAATACAGCTAATATAATTACTACAATTTCTACCATTATTTTCATAACCAGCACAATTACTATCAGCACCTTCGTAGACACCAGCACGATCACCACCATCATAGATGAGAATTATCACCACCAACATGACTGTAACTACCATAATGAACATCTTAAACAACACCATCATACGACTGGCATTGGTCACAGTTTTTAAGGACTTGTTTCTTGCAGATGTATTCAAGATATCATATTTATTTTGTTTAACAAACTGTAACCCCAGTTAGGGAGGCAAGGGAGTGCTATCACTTGCCCAAGGTGAACTCCCAGACAAACGGAGGGAAGGAGGTGTCTTACTTCTCCATTCTAGACCAGCTCCAAGCAAAGTCTAGCCGCTTCCCCAAAACAATGTTCTTGATGATAGTTTTTCATGTTATTGTTCATTAAATTCATTATAAAATATCCTAACCGAAAAATCAGCTCCAAAACATATGTCGTTCATAACAAAGTCTTTATCAACTAAGTCTTCTACTATTGGGTGTTTGTCCTCGTGTGAACGGGTTCATTTCAGTTATTTTTAAGAATAAAACATTCTCATTTAATGGGTATAAATAACCTGGGGGGAACCAAAAATTTAAGAAAATATACAACTTGTGTTTAAATTTTCCTAAAAACATTTTGCGCGAGACGACTTTATTGGGGTTAAAGAAAGGATTGACTACTGAATCTCGCTAAATATCGTGCAACGAAGAAAGTTCTCGTTGTTTGATATCGTCCAAACAAGCAACTGCCCGTCGCTTAATATCGTCAAACAAGGAATTTTCTGGAATAGACAGTCGAAGGAACACCATATCGCCTTTGTAGTCAGGAAAAGCCAGCATTGTCTCTTTTGGCGAAATTTTAATTCTTTGGATTGACTTATAAGCCTTCAAGTATCGTTGATAGAAATGGTCGAGAATCGCGCCAGAGTACATGTCAAAAAATATTATCAGCTGATCACATAAAGTTAATACAATTTCTCTCTTGTGAATAAAAAATGACCTGGTAAACGAATGAACAGAATTGAATTTAGACGCTATATTTTGACAATCACCAGTGTCCAGATCAATTATCTGACTTATATAATCCGGAAAGTCCATGACTATTGCGACTTTGGGGTCATTACTGAAACTTACTGCGACTTTGGAGTTATCATTGAGACTTGCTGCTGATTCACTGCGAAATCTTAAACAATCACGGCGATATAAGACTTCATATGAAGTTGGGTTTTTGTTATTTCTTTTCCAAATATAACATTTATTCTTATTACAACCAGAGATAAAGGCACCACCAGGCGAGATTTCTACTTCCATCTCAGGCTCAATTCCAGGCAAATTGATCATTACAGGACCATCAACATCTCTGACATCGAGAACTTTCACGAGTTCATTGTATCCGAGAGCCAAGCTGACAAAGCCTTCGGAAAAACCAACGTTTGAATCTAGGAAATCGGACCAGCCCTTTAGTCTTAATTCCGACAAGTCGTCTAGCACCACGTCCTGACAGTGAGTAAACAAGATCTTTAGATTGTCATCTACCTGATATCGCGTTAATTTGGGAATCCTGATAAATTCACTAATCACAAACAGGAAATCTTCCGACCACCAGCATAAAAACCTTGACCCGCATTGACTGCTTTTGAAACGTTGTTCAACTTCGCTGGTATAGACATTCCATACGTTGATACATCCATCTGAGTTGCAGGATGCAAGTCGAGAGCCGTCAGGAGAAAACGAACTGGAATAAACGACCGTTGGCTGTGACAGACATGATTGCTCTTGTTTAGGAACTAATGTCTTAAAGACAATTAGTTTTTCAACATCTGAATAGAGCCACAGATTATCTTCTAAAGCAGTCATTTTGTATCGATCAATGAAAACCTTTCGAGGAGTGGCAACAAGATAGTTCCAAGCAACAATCGCAGTTAAAGGAATACTTTCTGTGTCACTCAAATAACAATATTTTTCCGAAGAAAAAATACACTCCACACCTTTGCAGATCCACGGAAACGACATTCTAAAGTTTTTCCGACATTTCCTTATTTCTAAGTGTTTAGAATTTGGTTCCTCAAATCCCCGCTGAAAACATCGTTCACATTTCCTACTCTTTAACACAACTGGTTTCTCCCGTCCC